ATATGGCAAGTTTCTTGGAGAAAGGATGCTGTCTTTGTTATGTGGTTGTATAGTGACTAACACAATGGGACCCTGATCTCTGATTGAGGCCTGACAAAAACAGTGCATAATAGTAATCAGATAGGTGAAATGGAGTTAGATGACATACCCAAGTTTGAACTGGATTGCCCACAAAGGCATATGGTATATGTTTGCAAAGGCATAGCTCTGACCACTGATGCAGAAAAGAAAAAAAAAAGCACCTATGACAGTTAACCAGTATGAAAAATAAGGATACTAGCAACAAAATTAGAGTGAATAGTTCCTTTCAATTTAAATCCCCTGCCCCACTTCCTTATTTTTTCCCTGTACATACTTCTCCCAAGTGCCCCTAGGTAGACTGACTATTGCTTACACTGTGGGCCAGCTGAATTTTGGAAACTACTGTAGATGCCCCAGACCAGTACATAATTTCCACTCATTCACAAAAGGGACATTCTCCACTCTTGTCTATTTCAATACTTTTTTTCAGGTCATCTCCTTAAACTAATAAATCAAACGCAGCCTCTGTTCCATATAAACTTCCATATAACCCTTGGTACAAGAGTTTAAGATGTACTGTGTTTCCTTCTTAAACTTAAAATCAACTAAGACAATCAGATGCTTTAACTGTCAGCTCCTCAGGTCTGAATAATTACTAAACAACGTACTTTATACCCTCAGAGGTGAATGTATCTCCTCTACTCCAGACATCTATTGAACAATTAGGTATAGTTCTCTTCTTCTGCTGGGGGCTCTTCTCTTTTGAAATACCAATTTAGATTCAAGGTTGCAGAAACTGATTTTGTGTCTAGGTCATTTGTTCTTTTTCTAACTTTCATGCAAGCTGGTTTCTAGATATAGAACTATTTTTACCTAGTCTTATTTTAAAAGTTTATTCTAGCCAGGAAGCTTCTCTCTTTCTGTTTCTTTTCTTTAGCTAACTTAAGGGCCAGGTACAAACATTAAACTTTTACCCATATAAGTGATCAGAAACTGGTGTAAACCTGTAACAGAACAGAAGTTCAGCACACAAAACTGGTCTATACCCATAGAAAACAGAAGTTCAGCACACGTAGATTGGTTTAAGAACAGCAGAACCGGGTCTAAGATTTCCCACCCATCCCCTCAACCAAAGGGCGAATGTTCTGTTCACTGCCAATATAAACTATTACAGAAAGCCAGGTAACTTAAATCAATTCTGCCTTGAGCTTTTTGAATGTCTTTACCTAGCCCCAGTGTGTTATCATCATTCCAGGCATTGACCATTGTAGTCACATGGAGGAAGACACATAATAGCTATTCTGCTCCTCAGCTCCTCCATCTGTGAAATAGATTAAAACAGGTAAAGCACTTTAAGGTGCTAAATTCAATAATGCTGAGCTATACTAGTCAAAAGTATTGTTAGTGATATTCATTTTATTATAAAAGCTAGAGCTGGCCTTGCAGAGTTGTCTCCGCCTAATCTGATGAGAAGTTAGTAATATTTGGTTGAAAGTCGTCGAGGTAATTAAATCTATGCCCAAAAATGTCTGTCATATCTAGGAGATTGGGAAGCTTCTATAAACATTTCATTCCCAGGCAAAATAGTTCAGTAGGATTGTTGGCAGGAGGGTTGACACTAGGGAACAAGAATTCTCTTCCTATTGGATTCACTGCATCAGAGGACGGAAGGGCTTTCTATGGGTTTGTCTGCACACAAAGTTGGACTAGGTTAACAAGAAAAGTGTTTTTAAAGAAGTTTGGCTAGAAGCCCATGTGGCAGTCTTAAAACAGTATATTCTTGATTAAGTCAATGTAGTTTGTCTATTGCATTTAGATAGGTTTAAGATAAAGTAAACCACTCTAAATACCAACTAAAGAGTGTCTAAAGCAGAATGCTGTGCTCATTTCATAAGGTCAGAGTAAAAAACAATGTAAGTTAAACCAGCCTGACTTTTATAACTAAACAAAGCTTAAGAGCCATTTATTGCCAAAAGGAAATTTAGGTGGCCGGGACTATTCTGAGTATATTTCATTATCCATCATGCACCTCCTACCTTACCGCTTGCCAGCCGAACTGACAAGGGAAGGATTTTTACAAGATTTTCAGGGGATCGTGACACAAATAATCCCCCAGTCCTGGCTTTTCATTTCATTCTTCACCTCTGAGACATGAAGTTCCTGAGGCTACTGACAAAAGTAAAATTTCTAAATAAGTTATGACACAGAATGGGCATAGAGAAAATATACAGCCATTTCAAACTGACAGGAAGCCAGACATCCAAAGATACTGACTGTGATATGGAGAATACAGCTATAACTTTTCTTCTCAAAGTAGGCCATTTTGGGGCACTGAGATGCATATATATGCAATAAGATGATTAAAGCCATCCAGTGCTCTACTTTGGGATCCTTCTCAAGCCCTGCAACCTCCAGATCATGGTTGTTCCAAGCAGTGAGGTCACAGTGTAAAAATTTAGTTATACTGAACTATTACTGCTCTTAATTTTTTTTTATATCAGACATCACTAAAACAAAGAGAAAGAGAGAGAGAAAGAGAAGAAAAGAGAAAAATATCCTACTTTCTACTTCATGAAGCAAACCTTTACAATTCCAACAGCCTACTCCCTCCTGAAATCTCCTGCTTTGGGAGCCAAGGATTTGCAATACAGAAAGTTTATGCTCCAAGATGGAGCAAGATAGAGAGAAACTGAAAGCAAGGAAGGCCTATCACTAAATGATAGAAGAAATAGTTCTATAACAGCAACAGTGTATTACACTGAGAAAGAAACAAACATTTTGAAAGTATCTTATTTAGTTTAATTTAATGACATATTGCACTATTCCTTGCAACTAACATTTACCACCAATATTTTTACAATAGGTTTTGAATATGACATAATAAAAAAGAATTGAGATACACTTTGGGAGAACTGGAAGGAATAAAGGGAGCCCAAGTCCAACATTTGTTAGTCAGACAAAGCTCCATCAGAGCTCTTAGAGGGTTGCAAGATTTAAGTCTTATGAACAAAATGGCAAATTCTTCTATTTGAAAGATGCACTTTTACAGATTGGTTTCTAGTCTGCTTGAATGTGAAAGCAGTTACAAAGAAATACTGAAGTTGGTGTATTTTGCTACATTAAAAAAACTTCCATGGTTTTAAATTTTTATTATTTCTTTTTTTTAGGGGAGCTTACCTTTTTTAAACGCTTACTAAACATCTTATCAAATGGTGTTTCAACTTCTCCTAATTGTAATGTAGTTTACAATGGGTGGTGCTATGTGAACTATTATTGCTGTTACTATTGTCTTAGTGTGATTGCTACATATCAAACTACACTTTTTAAAAAAGGCAGGGTTTCTTCTCAAGGAATTTGTAATCTGAGTCAAATAAATATAGAACATAAAGAGAAGCTTAGGGATAGGAGAGATAGCATTAAAATGAATAAAAATGTTCTTTGGGTTTTTAAAAGGACATATAATTTCCTTTAATACAAGGGAGTCACTGCTCAGGCTCAGGTTAGAACTGAAGCATTCTGAAATTTTAGCCATTGTAATTAGCTGTTTATATTACAGTATCGTCATGAATCCCCAATTAGGACAGATCCCCATTTTGCCATACAAACATTCTATAAAAATTCAACCTGTGCCTTCGGGAGATTATACAAAAACAAGGGCAGGATGTAACAGATGAGTGTAATACTCAATAGAGGGAAGAAGTCATGGATAAGAACAAGAACACGTGGTGACTGTAGACTAGCTACCTAAATGGACTGCACAATATTTTTCTTTTAATAAGTGATAATTATTTTTAACAAGCCCCCTGTCTCGTCATTATCTTTATGGAGTGTACTGGGTATGTGTAACAGTGGCTGTTAATTCTGAGAGGTGAACTGAAAGACAAGGTAGTAATTTTGCAAACTCATTAAAGAAAGTCGTATCAGGTTATAAGGAGCAACACCACAAAAAAACCCCAAAAAACCACAAGGCAGTAACTGGAGAAGCAGACAGGCCACTGATGGAATGACTCTCTCACAAACTCATAATCTAATTATTGTAATACCAAGCAATAGCCTGGAATATTTCAAATGCCAGTGTCATTTACAAAATGGCAAATCTGAGTTTCATACTTGAAAAAAAAGATATATTGAAAACATAAAGCTAACTTGTCAGAGTAGGCTAAGAGAATTATATGAGATGATAGAAATATCCTAACTTAAGTGGATTAGGGAAGATTTTGTATCTTAGATATTGATCCAAAATGGGTGTGTTTTATTATTTATTGTTATGTGGTCCCAGATCACTGAATATCAACAAAGGATATTACAACTACTGCCTCTTATATTTCATATCTATATTTGTATACTTGTTTCCTTATCTGTTATGTGTTATACACACACAAGTTAGGGATCATCTCTTGGACACTCCAAAGATCTCTGTAGAGCACAATAGGCGTACATAAGCAAGCATATTCTTCCCTTTTACAGATGAAGTTACCCCTTACAAAGGCAATACATGACATTTCCAAGATTACACTGTAAATAAATGTCAAGCAGCCAAGGCCAGGTCCCTTACCACAAAGAATTGCCAAACAAATCATTCTACTTTTTGTTAACAAAGCTCTCCTCTCTTTAATATGTCATCATTTACATTTAAATAGCACATAAAGTTTTGATCTTAAAGTGCTTTATAAAAGTCATTAAACAATCATAATTAACTCCTCCTTAAGGCTAATTTCAGTTGCTCCAGTAAAGATATTTTATTGATTTTAATACTTGTAAAGGGAAATAGACCTTTATTTGTACAACAAATTTAACAATGTAATTTTGTAAGTAGGAAAGAGAGTGTACTTTTAGAACAGTATTTTAACCTCTTTTATTTTCTTATACAATGTGTAGAAAACTGAAATTCTTGTTGAGTACACACATTTTAATGCTTATTTTCTTAACTTGTATTAAAACTTAATGCTGTCTGTAAATCTAGTTTAATTGTGTTTCAGATGGTAACAACCTTTCAAGTGGCTCTTCTTCAGGTAAATTTCTATATAAAATCCTTTTACTCGTGGTTTTTTCCTTTGATTGCAAACTCTTATTAAGTTTTATATTATCTTCCAAGAGGGCAAGTCAACACTTAACAAACCCTCTGAATTTTCATTTCTGTGGCCATGTCTACACAAGTTGCTTGCACAACCAGGTACTAAATGACTGCACAGTAACCAGTGTTACTGCACACTAGCATCCCATCACGGTTGCCTAGTGATCCTTATTGCACAGTAGCTCATTACTACTACACAGTAGCATCACATCATGGTCGTGCCTGGCAACACTACTATGCAGTAGTAACATCCTACTGCACAGTAAGTGTGTAGATGTGGCCAGTAAGAACTATGGGCATTTTCACACATGTAAGTGCCACAGCACTGGGCACTTTGAAAAGCACCCAGCGCTGTGACACATACAGTTCTATAAGTGGCAAAATGTGTGACAGCACTGAGAAAATGGCAGCAGCATGCTTTTGAACTAAAACACATCGAAGGTGCTTTAGTTCAAAAGCATACCACTGCCATTTTCTGTGCACTGATGTGCATTTCACCATTTATACAACTGCATGCAATGCTGCGCAGTGCACGTCAGCTCGCATGTGGAGCAGACTGGATTAACTGAGTCTGCTCTGAAGCAAAGGATCTCTGGTGCATCGTGGTACCAAAATGTATGTGCATAAATGGCCTATAGGTCTAACACTTAAACTACTAAAGCTGAGTTCAAGCTGATACAAAAGAGAATGTAAATGTTTTTCAGCTCATTTGCTTGGATATGAAAACATAGAAATTATCTACCAAAGGATGAAATAAACCATATGGCAGACATCTGTACAGATATATAAATTAGCTTCTGAAACATAGCTTAATAAAGAAGCCAGCTTCAGACCTTCACTTGCTGGCTGCATAGACAGAAACAATGCAACATAAAGTCTGGCTATCTAGGTAATGGTAATGCAGACTGGAGATGAAAAATAGCATCAATTCTTTCTCTCAAATTTCAAAACTATTATTACAATAAAAAGTGTTTGCTCAATAATTCTGAGTACTTAACATTAATTGTGATGTTTGACATTTTGTTTCATTGAATAGCAATTTATAAATGAATGTTTTCATTTTTAACTTAATTTCTGACAATGAAAGAATACAGAGAAAAGCAATATTTTCCCTTGGGAATAAAAGATACATTCTTTTTCACTGAGCTATTTAAATGGCATGTGGGGGTCATGGAGATAAAGCTGACACATGACACAAGTGGAGTTTTTAAAGGTATGGCTTGCTTACCTATTTTTAGGTGATTCCAGGGAAGGCAGATGCTATGGCAATAGCTTTGTTTTAATCATTGCATACAGCACATTTAAACATCTGCTGCTCCTTTAGCCAACTACTCACTACTTAGGACTCCCTGAAAAGAAATTGTTTCCTCTGGGTTATGAGTCCCATTTGATCCACAGAATAAAAACCCCTTTAACAGTAGTTAAGCTTGAGGAATTTGATGCGGGTTTCTTGATTTTGGTTAGATTTGTGGTTTGATTGAGTTTGTATTGATTCAACCTCACAAAATTTCTAGGGCAACTCACATGCATTTCTGATAGCCTGCATCCTGGAATGAGCTCCTGACAATCATTAGAAAATCCTTCATTAAGGAATTCTTCCTCTGCTCCTAATGCCCTTTGGGGGAAACCTGAGAACAGCTTCATTGCTGAATGAATCTATGGGCTGGAGGATCGGTGGTCAGAGATGTTTGTCAGGCAACTGTTAGCCATTTGTTATTTTCAACATCCCTTTTTGACATACCAGAAATAGGAAACAGATGCAGAGCCTCTGGACCTCTCTAGGGAATGGAGAATTTAGCTTTATCCATTCTTCTGTGTTCTTGCAACCGCAAAAGAATTAGTGTTATTTGACTGAAAGCTGGTGACCAAATCTTACTTTAGGGAATCTGGCCATAGGAAGTGGTTTATAACCGTGACCAAACACAAGTTAATGGCTGCAGGCATCATCAAAAATGGCTGATCTGGTGAAAATCTGAAGTCTTATTGCATGAGGGGATTTCAAAACAAAGCATCTTCTGTAACTTCTGTCTGCGCTGCCTGCCAGCCTCAAGCTGTTATCAGAGTGGGAGTGGGGAAAGGGAGCAGAGAGAGTTAGGCCTAGGGGGCTTTCAGTCCTGGCTGGAGGGTGTAGCAGGTGTATTGGAGCCCCCTCCCCTCCAAGGTGCAGAGGCTTCAATTCACCCAACCCACTCTCCAACACTGGTCAGAGAAACCCCTAGAATGAGCTTCCTTTCCTCCATTCTCCCCCTCCCATTCTGAAAACTTGGCAGCCTCACAGGGAGGAAAGGCTGTTGCTGGGGAAACTGGCTGTAGGTTGCAGCCAGCAGCTAGATTCCCAGCCACCACAACAAACCAAAAGTGAACTTCAGTTTGTTCCAGGGGATTGTTGTAACTTTGAATACTTCCTGCAAAGCATTCTCAGTTACAGCAGGGAGCTGCACTTCTGTCTAAACCCTTAGACAGGGTACTAGTTATTACGAAGTCTTGGAATCCTATCTATACCTCACTTACAAAGAGTCAGTTAATGTGGATGTGTGGGAGCCAGTCAGGCTGTATTCTTTACTCTTACATACCATCGCAAATGTTATGATTAATCAGCCACGTACTCTGATCCACCTACACTAGGGTTACCATACATCCGGGTTTTCCCAGACATGTCCACTTTTTTGACCCTCTGATCTCTGTCCAGGCATTTTTTAAAAATCTGATCAAATGTCTGGGATTTTGGTCAGCTGAGCTGTGTGTATGTGGGAGGGAGGGGGTGGGGGGTGCCTAAAGACACTGGGAGAAGAAGCTGCCCAGGTGCTTCTGCTGCAGCTGGGAACTGGGTGGCCAGCTGGCAGCAGAGGAGATGTCTGCAGGGTCCTAGCACCTACCAAGTTCAGTTTAGCTTCTCTGCCACTGCAGAGGAGGTACCCCAGGGTCCTAGTACCTGCCTTTTTCACTTGCAGCAGTATCTGGTCACCCTGGGGTGTGGGATTGCAACTTGCGGAGGGGAGTGGGTTGTAGGCAGCAGCCAACTGAGGGAAAAAGATTGCAGGGGGGAGAGGGGCAGCCAGGAGATGGAGGGAACAGAGGGCTGTGACCTGCAAGTGAAGGACATGGAGACTGTGGGTCTAGAATGTGGGGCAAGGAGCTGTGGGGCAGTAGTGAAGAGCACCATCAGGGATAGAGGGGCTGTGGGTTGGGAGTGAGAGGCACCAGCATGGACCAGGGGGGCAGGGTACTGTGGGTTGGGAGTGGGGGGCACCGGTAGGGCCAAGGGTCCCCAGGTTAGGAGTGACAGGCAGCAGCAGAGCTGGAGGGGCTTCAGCTTGGGAGCAAGGGGCAATGGAATATGCAGGGCCTGGGCACTGACATATCAGTGCTCCTCACAGTCATATAACCCTCCCCCCGCTCCCTCCCCACCACACATGCGGCAGATGTCCTCTTTTTTGGAACTGGAAATATGGTAACTGTAACTTACATTAGTTTATCATGTATGATATCACACTACTATGACCTGATAGAAAGAGGATATTATTCTTGTTGCATACCAGAACCCATCTAGTTCCTTGGAGTTATCCATCTAGGAATTCTGAAAAGGTAAATCCAGAAGAATGAGAAAGACTAGAATGACATACCACATTAGGCTTGCCCAAATAGTCAAAAAGAAACTCACAGGTGTTTTCTGAGCTGCCAGAAATCATCTTCATAAGGTATCTAAACTAGAGAGACCAAAATAAATGAAAGGAGCAAAGCTGCCACAAAAATGGCCTGAGGCACTTTTCTAACTCTGTTACAATGAAGATGTCATCAACATAAATAAGCATTTTTATCCCTAGACAATTTAAGGGATTTATAGATTAAGCAATTATTATATTAAAAAAATTTCAGGCAATTCACAGGCCAGATGCCAATTTCTTCTATTGATACAGAACTCTCATGAAATATTGGCTCAGAAATTTCTTGTCACCTAGGTGCATGAAGTTACCTAGGAAACCTTTAGTCAGATCTGTTTTTTGCTGTAGTGTTTCATTTTCAAACAAAAATGTACATACCTGAAACTATCTATGAGAAGTAGAACAAAAGTTTTAACTGGAGCTACCTGAAAAATGCTCATTGCAATAGTTTTCTACTGGAATAAAACTTTTTAAAAAAACATTTTTTTTTTACAAAATTTTACACATTGAAAAAAATATCATCTATAAACTACAGGGCATTTTTCATTAATAAAACAGTGTGCCATTTCAACATTTTAGCCTGAAAAAAAGAAAAGTAGTAATTATTCATTGCAAAATTGTTTTTGTTTCAAAATATTTTTCAGTTTATATAAAAAAATCAGAATAAAGGAGCCAAAATTGAAGTTGAATTTTCAAATGTATGAAAGCAAAGTAATACTGTTAATCTGGACTTTTTTTTTTCAGAATGTTGTTTCACAAAATTTGAGTTTTTGACTCTGTGACTATAGAAGAAGCCATCTTGAAATGGCCGAAAGGATTTAAATATCATAGATTCAAAAGATGTAAACCAATTTTCACTGGAGGGAGCAATGGATCTCTCCCAAAATGTGTTTGGACATGAAAGATCACTTAGGAGACCTTTTAATATGGCTCATTGTCAGAAAAGTCACTGGATGCAGTCAGGCAGAAAGCAGTGCTCCAGAGTAGCACAGATAGCTTGTTGGGCAAGGGGTAAGTGCTGCAAACCATAAGGACACTCTCCTCCAGCAGGTGACTGTAGGCACATCTACACATGCCCCCGTGGCACAGTTGTTACTGCGCTGGCAGTTGTTACTGCGCTGTCATTTAGTACTTCCTAAACGTAGTTCCTAACGTACTGCCCTTTTAGGAAGTACTTTAGTTTATTTAGTACTTCCTAAAGTAATGTCCCTTTAGGAAGTACTAAATGACGATGCAGTAACTGCAGTCACTTTCACTGTCCTGGAGGCACATGGTT